CCCAGGTGTAAACAAGCTGTGGCAGAAAAAGTAGGCCAAACGAACCAAGTCCATCGGCCATTGCCATGTTTGGACGAATTTTTTCAGGGTCACATCCGCAATTTAGTAATGTACTGTATGAAATTTCTGATGGTCTACTGTAATTTCTCAGAGTCTTCAAATCATTTTCTTCCCTTCATATTTGAGCTGTTCTTTCTAAGGTTGATGACGTAGTCAAGTTTGTCAAATTCTTCCGTTTATGGGTCAAAAGCATGCCCGTAATTGGCCCGGAAAATCAACTGACGTGATTTCGAATCGATCATTGACCCTGATAGTTCGATCCTTCCAATAAATATACCACAGCAGCCTGATAGCACGCCAACCAGTTCTGATAATAGTCGTTGAAGAAAGGAATCCAATCAGAATCATGAAACAAGTTACGAGCGCTGCTCGTTCCTGTTGACAACCCCAAATACCTTAGTACTCTGCTTTATGTCAACAAGTCTGCTAAATGGACAGAATTACTGGTACGGGCTTAGTAGCTTTCATCATCGTTGTACTACTCAACGATGCCTGTGGCAAATCGAAGACGGTCCAAGGTAAAAATTGTTTTTTTGGGTGATTAATTTTTTAATCTGACTGCTGAATCTGGCTGCAATCTCGTGTCTTCGCTCATTACTTAGATTGTACTCTCTTTATACCTAGTTGAATATGTACTTGAGCCCCTATTTACTACTCAGCGTAAGCATTTCACTCCAACTTCGTCGCGCATCGCTATGCACCCCAGAGGCATGATGACGTAACAAGTAAAGATAGTACGTAAAGTGTCATTTGTATTGTACAACATTGGTTTAACTTTGACTTAGGCAAAAGCGTTTCTTGCTGTAATAAAGATGACAGCTGGCAGGCATAATATGATGAAAGTCCGTCCTAAACATCAGAACTGTCAGCCGCTGAAGCAGCTGTATTTGAGGCCTCCTACCTCACTTTGCACCTTGGCGGAAAATCTTTATATGAGGGAAATATTCCAACGACGAACCTGGATCGAAGGGCTTACACCGTCGTCCCCGTC